TTTTTTCCTTTTTTCCTTTTTTTGTCGACTTTTTCTTCAACGTTACTCCCCAGGAGCAACAATACTGACAATGTCGTCATCCAATATCCGCCGTCCGGGCTCATGTCATAGCATTACCTTTACCCCTCCAGGAATCCCAATGTCCATGACGTCAGCATATGCCCACCACTGGCTGTGGGGAGAACTGGGCTGTGACATCGAGGCCTTCATCGTCTACTTCCTCGGCCTTTCCTCCATGTACGTGCTCATGGCGATCTCGTTTGACCGTTACATCGCCATCAGCAGACCTTTACTGGGGACGAAGATCACCAAGAAAGTTGCTGTCATCTCATGTGGTAAGGTGTTCATATCAGTAATTTAATATAATGATAGACATTCTCTCTCTCTCTCTCTCTCTCTCTCTCTCTCTCTCTCTCTCTCACACACACACACACACACACACACACACAAACACAAACATACACACACACACAAACACACACACACACACACACTTGCTCTCGCTCTCTCTGTCTCTCGCTCTCTCTTTTTTTCTTTCTCTCTCTCTCTCTCTCTCTCTCTCTCTCTCTCTCTGAGGTTAATTAACAAAAAGAAAAGCAGTAACAACAACAACAACAACAACAATAACATCAACAACAATAACAACAACAACAACAACAACAACAACAATAATAATAATAACAACAGTATTTTCTGATAATCTATATAATTATAATACATTCATATACTTATAAACTTATAAAATATATGATTTATTCGTAGAACATATTAAATTAAAGACATCACAAATAATATAAGCAATATATTATCAATATTAGAAAGTAAAGTAAAGTTGTTCCCGCATCTGATCGAGACATTAGGGATTGCCTTATTAGTGAGACAACTTCCTGGGCCTTCGGCATATTGTTGTAGAGTGACCAGTTTCTTTCCGCGCAGCCTTTACTTCTCCAAATGGAAGTCAGATTCCCATTACCCCTGGGTAGGCAGGAGGTGACGAAAAAAAATTGTGTCCGAACCGAAGCTCGAACCCGGACTTTCCACTTCAGAGACGAGCGCACTAACCTCTTCGCCACGGCACCCTCTAATCAATATTGGTATTATTGATATTATTGTGACAATCATGATCACCATTATTATTGCATCTAACAAACTTGGCCTTTCTTCCACAGGGGCTTGCTACTTGCTGGGCTTTCTCTGGTCGATTTTTCCAGCATTTGGTTGGAACGAGTTTACGCTAGAGGGCGCCGGCATCTCGTGCAGTGTGAATTGGGAGAACCCCAGCCCCGTGTACACCTCCTATATCTACGCTATCTTCTTCTTCTGTTTCGTCATCCCTGTGGGGGTCATGATGTACTCATACTACGGCATCATCGCCACGGTAAGTAGGTAAGGGGGTTTTCTGTGACAGTTGTCGAGGGTTGAAGATTGTAAAAATAATAACAATAAACAATGCTACTACTACTACTACTACTACTACTACTACTACTACTACTACTACTACTACTACAAGCAGTACTACTATTACTTATACTTTATCTGTGTTTTGTCCCCCTATCCACCTCTCTCTCTCACTCCCACCCCCACCCCCTTCTCTCTCTCTCTTTCTCTCTCTCTCTCTTGCTCTCTCTCTCTCTCTCTTGCTCTCTCTCTCTCTCTCTCTCTTCTCTTTTGGACTCTCTCTCTCTCTCTCTCTTTCTTTCTCGCTCTCCCTGTCTCTGCCACTTTCTGTCTCTCTCTTTCTGTCTCTCTCTTTCTGTCTATCTCACAATACTCTATTCGCTAAATATAGCTCTCACACTCGATCATTCACTGTAGACCTCAAAAAAAAAAGCAATAAGTGTATTGGTGATTGCCGAGATCGAAAATTAACTATGAAAGATTGCCTAAAAATTCTCCAGAAAATGCAAGTCCGGTCGGCCGCTTTTTGAAGC